TTGTCTACAATTGAGCTCAATGCTAGTGAAACCAAGAACGTACACGACAACCCTCCAATTTTTGATTTGATTGACCAATTCAATAATCAATTAGCATCCACTTCCGGTGTACAAACACGTAATCAAAATTTAAATCAGAATGATAGTCAATCAATGATAGTAGAAGCCAATGATAGCCAAATCGATATAGATATTGAAGAATCATCCGATCAAACAATTCATTCTAGCCCCGAACATCCAATTATAGGAATACCAATAACTGATACTCCAGTCAACTATGGTAAAAATCAGATCATTATTTCACAAGTAAATTTTTCACCTGCTGAACCTTCTATCATAAAATTATTCAAGGATAAGCAGAGAATACTTATTCAGTTTTCTAAAGACAATTATGAAGAAGAAATGGTAAATTTTATTAAGGAATATGTTGCACGCAAAATTAAATATCATCTTTACTTTGAAGATCCCATTTACGAACAATTCTGTTCTGTATTACAGAAGTATTTCAAAAATTCTGAAATCAATATGACAAAGTGCACGAAGAAATTAATTGATATCACAGACGACACTGAAGTAGAATCAATTATTAGAAATCACCATGAAGGAAAAACTAATCACAGAGGTATCGAAGAAACTGAAAAGCGAATTAAGGCACATTACTATATTCCAAAATTATTCAATACTGTTAGAGATTATTAATCACATGCAGAACAATGAGAAAAGCATTGAAAATCAACTAAAATTACAATATTCTGTGAATCACGAGCTGAAAATTTTAACTTCACTCTTCAAAATATTCATCACAATGAAAATCTATTAAAGTCAAAAATACTGCAACTGAACGAAATTGCGTATGCAAGCACTATGAATGAAAATATTCTTTTTGCAAAGGACATTTACCACTCACTTTTAATGCTTTACAATTTTATTCTCAGTACATTGCAGGATATTGGAAATTCTGTTACATTCTGCAAGTTAGGAGTTATGCACCCGAGTATTATCAGACCAAGCGAATTACATAAGGAACTTTTGAAATTATCTTCCTATTCTAATAAATGTGCTTCCTTATGATGTCAAATTCGAAAATATGTTAGATTTTGAATCACTTATAAAGGTACACTGTAAGATTGATTTCAATCAAATTATTTACTTCTTATCTATTCCAATTGACTTCAACGATACATTTGAATTGTATTACATGCACCCAATACCCACAAAATATGGGTCAGAATTCATGTCGATTTTTCCAAATTTCTAATACTTTTTGGCATAGATTGATAAACAATCAATCAAACATCTAAGTGGAATTTGTACCAAAAGCAATATATGCCACTGTCCTCGTCAAGTCGAAGTTAGTACAAATATATCCTGTGAAGCCAACATTTTGAAAAACGCCAACAGTTGTCATTTTACCAAAGTCAAGATTATCGAAAATCACACTGAACTTATACCAGAGATCAACCAGTACTTAGCCGTTTTTCCAATACAAGAAAAGCTAGAATTCCATTGTCAAAAGCAAATAGAATTAAAGTTCTTATCAGGCATATACTTGATATCACAAGATAACTGCACAATCTTGTTTAGAAACGAAGCGATTACATTTTTGGACAAGAGTTTTGGCCAGCCGTTAGTCATGGAAACGCCAAATTTCACTTTAATTTCGGAAAATCAAAAGCCGAAGTTTGAAATCGAACTAAGCACTTTAAAAATGAAAGATATTCCAGTACAGTCATTCAACCCAATTGAATCTGAAGAAATCGATTATATCACATCCAGTGCTTGGACTATTATCTTGTACATTTTATTCACGTCTCCGGGCATTCTACTTATTTATCAAAAGTTCAAGAAGAATAAGAATGCACATTACACATCCTGCTCCAATTCCAAGGAAGTCACATACAAATGATCCAGAAGAAATCGAGCTACCTTCCAGGAAACTGAATCTTCCAGGAGAAGCTTAATTCTAGGGGTGGAGGAGTTATAGGGCTACCCTGTAGAAGCTAGAAAATAGAAAATGCAAGTCAGCACATCATCGCAGCGCCTAGCAACCGTTGAAACGCAACATGATATGTTTCCTGTTTTACTTATGCTAACGAACATTGTACCTGTATAATTAAAATTTAGTCTTAATCTAACTTTCGTACCATCCACTACTGTATTTTCGGAAATAAATATTTTTTAAAAAGGCACTTACGTTATCCCGAAATATTAGTTATATATATATATATATATATATATATATATATATATATATATATAAAATTAAAGCTTCCGCCTTTTGTTGGGTACTTCGACAAAAATTTAAGCAAGGAGGACTCTTTATACTTTTTTATTCTCTCTAGCTTTCAATGGACTTTGCCATCATCATCAGGAGCTGCAATTACATTGATAACAATAGCAACAATAGTGTAAAATGAATTTAAATTAACTTACAGTTATTATTTAGTTGTGAAGAGAAAGTTATTAAAATTTGAATGGAATGGAGTTTATTGGTGGAATAGACCAAGAAACAGATTCCATTTATGGTTGTGAAGAGTCAAAATTTGGGAAGATGTGTAAGTGTTACAATTTTTCGCAGTTTAGCAAATATGAGTAAATGACACTCAGTTGCTTAACATCTGTCTTCATATTGATACAGTTGTCATTCATGAAAATGTGGGACATTTCCAGGAATAAACGTTTGGATAGGTGTTTTTCTTTATCGAGAACTTTGATACTTGTGTAGTTCATAGAGTGCCCTGTTGTGTTGACATGAGATGCTAGAGCACATCTTTCAGGATGAAGCCTAGAATCACTTTTGTGTGATGCAATCCTTCCTTTAAGAGATCTGGAGGTCTGACCTATGTATATTTGGTTGCAACTGTTGCAATTGATAGAGTAGACTGGGTTGGTTAAGCCAAGCAGCGGGACTCTGTCTTTCATTTTTGAAAAAATGCAGTTTATAGTGAGGACGGATTTGCAGGCAATTCGACAGTTCAACGGTCTGCATAATCTGATAAGCTTAGGGGTCAGTTCCTTGATATAGGGTAGGACAGCAAAGCCAGATCTGGAATTTGGGATGGTGGTTGTACTGTTTGAATTGGTGTTGTTGTTAGGAATTCTAAAAGTTCTGTTATTAGGGGTTGTGAGACTATTATTTGTATCATTGGAGTTTGGTAAAATACTGGGAGGTGAGCTGAATAAGATCTTGTTAATCAGACACATCGGATAACCATTGTTAATGAAAAGTTTTGATAGTTTACGTAAATTTGTAGTGTGGAAAGTATTATCTGAGATGCTGATTACCCTTGTTTTCATCTGTTTCACCAAATAAAAGGTTTATTATTCCTAACACCACAAAAACTTTACCTTGGGGACACTCTGACATTGAGTTTTACCAGACTGACCCCTCGTTGAATGTTAAATATGCTATAGGTGCAATCAGTGATATTGCAGAAGGCACTTTTCCTGAAAATGGTAATTTAGACTTATTAATAAAATTAATGTTAAACGAAGTTTGTAAGTATTAGACTTAGGTTACGTCAAGCTTGTACAGGTAAATAAAATCAACATGTAGTAAGAAAATGAGTGTTCACACTTACAAAAACATTTAATAGGAATGAATAAGTCCATTTTGGATAGACCCATCAAAAGCATTGTAACTGAAACATGAGTCATGAATAACTAATGCGTACACCTTGGTGTGGAATGGAAACGCAGATTTCCTGGTCTCAAATTCCAAAGACATGTCGACAGTTGAAAGTTGTAGATGATCAGGCTGATGACTGCAATCAATAACGAAAAGCGGATTGTCATTAAATTCTTTAATATCCATCATAGGTTCAGGAATGTTCCGGTTGTAGTATGTTTTTTGAAAGTTCTCAAATGCATAATAAGCTGCGGTGTTGAGCTTTTTTTCGAAATTCAAGTTCCACCTTTCATATGGGAATACTTGGTTGTTCAACTTCAAGCGAATCGAGTTAACGTTGGCATTTATGAATTTCGTTATATCCATCGAATGATTTTCTTCAACTGTAGAATCTTGAAGTCCAATGATAACGAATAGAGGTCTCTCTAGTTTACTGGTTGTTCTAATTGCCCAAGCATCCGATGATCTAGAACGAAGAGATAGAAGCTCATGGAGATCCCAAGATCGAAATGCTACCTTGATGCTTGAGATCACATGTTTATTCAACCTTTGCAGAAGGTTGACTTTGTAACGATCTTCCGGAACGATGTGTTGAACCTTCCATTCAATCTTAGATATAGTCAATTCAGCATCACATTCACCCACATAACAATTTTTGAAGATCTTGCAATAACCAACAGAAGCTCATGTTTTATATTTAGAACCCCTTTTTTGTAGTCTTCTGCAAATCCCATTATATGTTTTAGGGGTATCCTACCACTTTTGACATCCCATATAGCTGAGTTCTCGGCACTTAAGGTCCAAACACTACATAACAGTGTGACACCATCGTTTTTATAGTTGAAGTTATCCCTGGATTCCGAACACCATAAACTTTTTCGCCACCCATCTGTAGGGAAATTTCTTGAAACAAAAAGGCCAATGCATTGTTTGATAAGTAGCAGGGTTTCGTAGCGTCGCTAGGCGTAAATGTTCCTCCAACGTAAATATAACTGTCAGCAATGTTTAAAATAAGATCTTGGAAGTTTATAGGGATGTGAACTATATCTGAATTCTTGAAATATGGCGATCCATATGGTTTGTATGTGTATTCTTGTAGGCTGGCTAGGGAATGATCTATGATGGTTTCCTCAAAAACATCCAATTTCTCATTTGATACGTGTAGAACCATATTGTTTGATTAGTTTCAGCCCTATAGACTCCAGGAACTTGCGATTTTGCAGCGAAATATTCGATGCTGTGTCTTTGACGATGGTTGAACGACGATTAACGGAATTTCCACTGGTTATTCGATTTTTATGCTTAGTTGTGCGACCTTTTTCTACATTCTTCAAATGATATATATCTAGGTTATATAGAAATCCCATTGTCTTCAGCTGGCACTAGACAGGCGTCGCAGTTCTAATTTGATTATAATTTTTTCACCACGGAAATTGACCAAATTCCCGACGTCATCCAAAATTTCCAGTGTGATGTTATCAATAAACTGGCGTCCACGCGGTTTAACGCTCATATATGTTACATTCTGAGGCTCCTTTGTTAATTTAAATCCTGGTTCAACGTCTATATCAAACTCATACAAAGTGTGCATTTCAATGCCATTGCAATAAGCTCCTGATATTAATCCACAGTCGATTCTTAGTATCCTGATGGGAGTTATGTTTACAGATAAATTCGATGTGTAGATTTTGCTTCTGGGAAAAATTTTGTTTTTAAATCCAAGCATAGTTGCCATGCAATTGGACAGAGCAATATCGAATACAGGATGGAGTTCACACTTCAAAGCATTAGTGTTGGCTTTAAAAGAGAACATTTCATCAACTTTGTTTTCATATCTCTCTTTATATGTATCATTCATTGATATTATTTCATGTTGTATGTATTTATTGATATCTTAGATTTCATAAACACCTTCAGGGAGGGTTACCACATTACTCTCGTCTCCCTCGTGAGTAAGATATATTTTATTATGTTGATCATCAATATTGTATATGGTGTTGTACGACTAAAAGCCAAACAACCCCAGACCATATTCCGCACTTATATCCAACTCGATTGGTGGATAAAAATTAGCAGACAGTTTGCTAGTGTAACCCGTTAGAGTAAATGTGTTAGACATGACTGAAGACTTGATGAATGAAAATATGGTCTTATATAGGTAAAAAAATATTTATTGATTACAACAGTTGTTTGATTCAGATGTATTTTTAACATTGATATCTTCCATGTTACAGTAACAACAAAATATTTTTCTTGGTGGCGGTCCATCTGCTTCATCATCACTCCTGCTTATTCCATGGTATTCCCAGCAGAATTGGAATCGCTGTATATCAGCGTCCTCCTTCAAATGCTCCGGCAGTTTGTTCCATACATGCGCTATTTCATTTGGTGTGCAGCATATAAGTACCTCCTTCGGTATGTGTGCAAGTTCATCTCGCGTCATATTCAACAGGCTTCTCTCCCTTGAAAAGGCTTTAAGAGAGTCTCTAATTTTTTTCAATCGTTCGTGATCCATTGTCTTCAGCGCTCTGATGCTTCTTCAGATAGAAATCGCAGACACAAACGACCACACCAAAACGAATTGAACTGTTGTTGTCGATTATAATTGTACAAGATTTTTATCTTTTTCGACTTGTTGGTCAAATATTTGATTAGCTCCTCGGGTGGGCGTAGATTGCCGAAACTATTATAGTACCATACAACCATCCCACGTTTTATATATGAAACTCAATCTGACCCATCCCCACTCTTGTTATCTAAATTAACTATGACTGATTCATTCTTCAGCGGACCCTGCTGGGACATTTCATCGCACACAAATACTCCTTTGAAATATGGTATTTTTAGCTTCCTAGCATTATAGATAAGATCTATATTTGTTAGCGGTCGAGGGGGGAGGGTTTTTAATAGTTTTTTGAATTCCTTAACCTGATGAACGGTATGGTTTCAGAAAGAGACCATCCCCAATTCGATTCACGTTAGAAGAAGGTGGTGAAGTACTTTTATTTTGAATTTGCTCACGCACTGAACTAGCTGTTTTAGCAGCTCTTGTTATGTTGGCAATACCCCCAGCTAGACCACCTAATGCTGAAAGACCGGCAAAAATTGGTATCAAAGGAAGGATGCCTCCACCCTTGGGAATAGGTATAACTCGTGGAAGCTGAATCAGCCGTTTTCCACCTATGGATCTGATATGCTTCCGGGCAGCAAGTAATGCAGCGGAAGTCGCCTTTGATAATACTCTCTTGGCTGGTTTACAGTTTGAGAACCTTTTCATGTGTTTGCATACTTTATTCACTATCCCCGATCCAAAGTGTACCTTTTTCTGTGATCTACTTGATTTTCTAGGGATAGCTTTTCTTCCTTTAGGTCCACGCCGTGATGCATGTCCTCCCATACCTATACGACGTTTGACTTTCATAATACCCGATGTTCTGCGGATATATTTTCTTTTACTCCGTCTACGACATGATGCTAGACCCATTCCTGCGTGACGTTTTACTTTCATGATATTAGTAACTACCAAGCGGCAGCTTTTTCTCCAAGTTTTGCGTCTGGAGATTTGACTCTTTTCCAAGCGTCTTGCGCAAGTTGATAATCAGCAACGTGTTTCGCTGTCAAATCAGATTTCTGATATGTAAAATCATGCTGTAAGCATGCAGCGTCTAATTTATTAATGCCTTTCTGACCTAGGGCTAACCTTTTTTGAAGACGTGTCCCTGGACCGCAGAACTGGTAAGAAGGTAAGTGTACTTCGAATGGTAACTTATCTATCAGCGTATCGACAAAACCACCACCAGCAGCTTTTGGAGTGCTTTGACACCTTCTAATGCGAAGTAGTGGCATTAAAATAAATAAGACATACGCAATTGCAGTTTATATATGCTCAACTCGTGGTACAATGAGGGTCACAAAACAGAAACAAGAATTATGTATCAGCAATATAGATACAAAAGCGGCGGATATACAAAACAATGCTATGCAGCGGCATGGAAGTCTCCTCCCATCCACAATCCGCTGTATTATTGTTGGACCATCGAACTATGGAAAAACCAAAAACGTCTATATATTTTCAAAATCATTGAATCAACCGAAATATCAATTTATACAGAAAGTACTAACTTCGGTCAATGGTTTAGCTTATTATGCATTTAACAATAATGCTGACATCTTACCGCCATCGAAAGCCAAGCCGAATTCAATATTAATTTTTGATGACGTACTGACAGAAAACCAGACTTCTATTCTAGAATACTTCAGCATGGGTACGCACAAAGGTGTGGATTGCTTCTATTATGTGCAGAGTTACTCCTGGGTGCCCAAAAGGGTAAAAAGGGACAATAACCTAATTGTCTTATTCAAGGTGGATAAGACACATTTATCTCATATTTTCTCCGATCATGTAGCACGTGATATGACCTTTAGGCAATTTCAAGCCATGTGTAGAATGTGCTGGAGCGATAAACACGGAGTCTTAGTCATCGATAAGGATAGCGAACTGACAAGTGGTCGTTACTGGAAGGGGTTTGATAGTTTCATAAATCCACTAGAAGATTAGAAACACCATCAACCAATCGTGGGACTGCATCTAGTACGCATCGCGGTGGATTAAAAGAAAGTAAAATGAAACGGCAGCAGAATAACACCGAAGTGGCACTCAAGCAGGGATTAGTAGATGCAGCAAAGTCAGTTCGGAAGAAATTTATTGCTATCAAGAAAGCCCATTACTAAGCAGCTCAAAACAATAGCGGAAGCATCTACATCCAGCTTGTCGAAACAGTCAACACCCCAAATCGATAGTCCAAGCATCCTAAAAAAAGTATCATTTGATAAATCAAGAAAGAAATTATTTGATTAGGTGTAAGAAAAACTGAGTTGCTTGAGAACAGTAGTGAATTCAATGACCATACATTTGAGCAGATCTTTCCACCGACTACAAGCACACCTAGGGCACAATCTATGGAATCAGATAAATCAGGAAACGCATCATTTGGTGACTTGACTCATACTAAACTTTCTACTTTTGCCCCGATGCAAACGCAATCTGACACACATTCATTACTCGGAGCGCATGAAGAAAATTCAATGAGTAGATACATGTCTACTTCAAATCATAGTGAAGCATCCGGATCTTTGACCAACTTGATAAATAACCATATATCTAATTTGAAAGCAAACAATCCAGGGTATGGAGGCATATACAATGTGAGAATAAATCCACAATCGGACAAGTTATTATTAGGCAAACTCCAAGTGAGCTTTGATATTGGTGGACGTTACCTGCTATTAGTGTTGAGCTTTTTTGAATTTTTGAAAATGGTTTTGGATTTCTGGTTGTTTCGGATTGTTGGGTTTCATAACATTCGTCGTTATGAGTGTCATCTATTTGATATAGTTCTTCCGCAATGAAATTTTAGGGTCCAGAGTGCTGGAAATGGTTTTGCCTTTGGGGATAGTTTGGTTTGTAAGTATTTCTGGATGAAACTGACCTAGGCTATGGGGATTATTCGGTACTGTTCCCCTGGGCTTGAAGACGTTCGTGTTTCTGGGTGGTTAGTTGTACCCCAAAAATATACTCTATTCAAGGGAAAATTTATAGGCTAGGTGGCATAGTATGAGAAAGCTTCTGAAAGGGTCGCAGCTGAAAAAACATATTTATAAATTCATCTTCACTCCCAAGAAAACGATTCCCTAGAATCAGTTGTAGCTCAAACAAATACTCTGTTATAGAGACAATTTATAGGCTAGGTGGCCATGGTATGAGAAGGTTTCTGAAGGGGTGGCAGCTAAAAAAATATGCTTGGAAATTCATTTTCACCCCCAAGGAAATGATTCCCCAAAATCAGTTGTACCTCAAAAAAAATACTCTATCATAGAGACAATTTATAGGCTAGGTGGCATGGTGTGAGATGGCTTCTAAAGGGGTGGCAGCTATAAAAATATATTTATAAATTCACTTTCACCACCAAGGAAATGATTCCCCAAAATGAGTTGTACCTCAAGAACATACTCTATTATAATGACAATTTATATGCTAGATGGCATGGTGTGAGAAAGTTTCTGAAGGGGTGGCAGCTAAAAAAAATACTTATAAGTTCATTTTCACCCCCAAGGGAATGATTCCCCAAAATCAGTTGAACCTCAAAGAAATACTCTATTATAGAGGCAATTTATAGGCTATGTGGCATGGTGTGAGAAAGCTTCTGAAGCGGTCGCAGCTAAATAAATAAATATATATATATATATATATAGGTGAAAAATTAGAGCTTCCGCCTTTTGTTGGGTACTTCGACAAAATTTAAGCAAAGAGGACTCTTTATACTTTTTTTAATTCTCTCTAGCTTTCAATGGACTTTGCCATCATCATCAGGAGCTGCAATTACAATGATAACAGTAGCAACAAAAGTGTGAAATGAATTTAAATTGAATCAACTTACAGTAGTATGTGAGGATGTTGCTAATTGTTGTTTTCGTATAGGATGAGGGAAACGTCCAGTAACATGGTGAGAGCTGCATACATGGTACAATGGTTGAAGTTATATAAAATATGACAAGACAAGGTAAAGACAGATTAAAAATTATTTTCAGAATGTTATGTAAGAAATTGTTAAACCGACCAAATCACATCATCTGAAGTGATTTGGCAACGTTTTGGCACACGCCCACAATTCGTTCCATCTTTCAACACAGACATTGACAACCTTCGGCCTTCTGTCAAAGGTTCATCTCACTCATTATTCCATGACCACCATTTTGTGCAATCATCAAGTGGCTTCACGACGTAATGCTCTAATGTTTTCTAAATAATTTTTAATCTGTCTTTAACTTGTCTTGTGATATTTTATATAATTTTAACCATTGTACCATGTATCCAGCTCTCACCATGTTACTGGGCGTTTCCCTCATCCTATACGAAAACAACAATTAGCAACATCCTCACATACTACTGTAAGTTGATTCAATTTAAATTCATTTTACACTTTTGTTGCTACTGTTATCATTGTAATTGCAGCTCCTGAGGATGATGGCAAAGTCCATTGAAAGCTAGAGTGAACTAAAAAAAGTATAAAGAGTCCTCTTTGCTTAAATTTTGTCGAAGTACCCAACAAAAGGCGGAAGCTTTAATTTATCACCTAACTGGGCTAGACGACAATGACCACGTCTCAAGTTATATATATATATATATATAGGTACAACTGATTTTGGGGAATCACTTCCTTGGGGGTGAAATAAGTATATTCTTTTAGCTGCCACCCCTTCAGAAGCTTTCTCACACAATGCGACCTAACATATAAATTGCCTCTATAACAGAGTGTTTTTGAGCTTCAACTGATTTTGGGAATCATTTCCTTGTGAGTGAAAATGAGTTTATAAACATATTTGCTTATCTGCCACCCTTTCAGAAGCTTTCTCACACCATGCCACCTACCCTATAAATTGTCTCTATAATAGAGTACTGTTTTGGTGTGCAACTCATTCTGGAAAATCATTTCCTTGGGGGTGAACATTAATTTATAAACATATTTTTTTATCTGCCACCCTTTCAGAAGCTTTCTGACAACATACCACCTAGCCTATAAATTGTCTCTATAATAGAGTAAGTTTTTGAGGTACAGCTCATTTTGGGGTATCATTTCCTTGGGGGTGAAAATAAGTTTTTAATTATATTTTCTTGTCCGCCACCCTTCAGAAGCTTTCTCACGCCATGCCACCTAGCAAATGAATTGTCTCTGTAATAGAGTATTTTTTTTAGATATAAATCATTTTGAGAAATCATTATTTGGGGGGTGAAAATAAAGTTTTATTTATATTTTTTTTATCTACCACTCCTCTAGATATTTTTTTAGTATATGTTATTTAGCTGATTAATTACTTTGAATACCATATATACAATAATACGTAAGTGAAAATTTGATGAAAAGTTTTGGGCTAAGTCTTGTTCCTGTGAATGATTTAATTGGGGTGGAAAATAATTCTTCCTATAGGGGTGCTTATTCTCGTGCATATATTTTTACTGTTCTGTTAGCTGTATCCTTCACATTCACAGTCTGGTCAAGCATGTCGACGCCACTGGTTATTGTGGTATCTTCGGCAAATGGTCTGCTAAATTTTGTCTGCCAACTTCACACCGGTTATAAAAGTGTCACCGTTTGTGAGATATTAAAAACAAATTTTTTATCTGTGGTCTTTAGCTGCATGTACAAATAAGGTTATACTTTGTTAATTTTTTTTTCTATAAAATATTTCTAGATAGTTGCTCTATCATATACGAATGCATATGTAATGTAGTTAAAAGATATTAAGGAACCATGATCAAATAAGGACTATTTTAGGATTTATAACTTTCTGATATTTTTTCCTCAACTTTGACCATCTGTGGTGAAACAAAAATGTACTGTGGTATTACTAAATAAAAAGAGTGATCATTGAATACAGATTTCAGAAAGGCACCACACGTACTATTTGGAACAGAAAACACACACTACAGTGTAATTATTGGATATAAATTCAAGTTCCACTGGTTACCGATCAGTGACATGCTAAATAGTACAAAGCTACATTATTGTTACCTGCTCCTGATATGATTTTATGAAACTTACTGAAATTCGGACTCGAGTGAGTAACAATACCAAAGAATTATTTTTTATCATGGTTCCTTAATATCCTTTAACTAGGTTGCATTTGTATATGATAAAAGAAAGTATCTCGTATTTTATAGAAAAATTGAACAAAGTATAATCTTATTTGTACATGCAGCTAAAGACCACAGATGAAAAGGTTGATTGTTTTAAACTTTAAGAAAGAATTCAATATCTCAAAAACAGTGATACTTTTATATAGGTAAG